TAGTAGCGTGTGTCGTATTATTCGCCTCACGATTATGAATTGTTAGTAGTATACGTACTATGCCTACTGACAGTGCTAGTCTTAGTACTCACCATATCAGTACTATGAGTATTACGATTGTTCGTGTTATCATTACCAGTACCATTCGTATTGCGAGAGATATCAGTATCATTCGTGTCGTTCGTCTTCGTATTAGTATTCGCATTCTTCTTCTTGATAGGAGTATTCCTGGTAGGGTACGAGAACTAAGATTCGCGTTCGTCTTCTTATTATTCGCCGCCGTCTTGGTATTCGCAATAGTTCCATTGGTATTAGTTTTCGCGTACTGCGTCTTATTAGTATCATTAGACGTATAAGTTTTCATACTAGCATTCGCGAAATTACGTATACTGTTACTCATGATGGTTTAATTAATAGCCATGTGCTTCACCATAGTCTTCCTTACATTAATTGTACTCGTAATGGCAATGTGAGTATTAGTATTGCTCTTCCTCCTCTGCCTCTTCGTCTCCCTCCCTCCCCCGCCCCTCCCTCCCTCCCTCCCGCCCGCCCGCCCGCCCGCACGCACGCACGCACGCACGCGCGCACGCCCGCCCTCCTTCCCTCCCTCCCTACATCCCTCATCCCCCTCCCTCTTCCTTCCTCCCTCCTCCCCCCTCCCTCGTCCCGCATCCCTCCTCTCTTCCTCATCCTTATTCCCTCCTCCTTCCCCCCTTCTCCCCCCGCACTCCATCATCCCGCCTCCCTCCTCCCTCCTCCCTCCTCTCTCCTCCTCCCTCCCCCCTCCTCCCTTTTCCATCGTCCCTCCTCCCGCCTCTCTCCTCCCTCCTCCCTCCTTCTGCTTCTCCCGTTTCCCTCCTCCCTCCATGTGCCTCCTCCTCCCTCCTCCTTCCTAGTTTTTCCATTGCTTCCTCCTCCGCCCCATCTCGCCATCCCTCCCCCCCTTCCTTCCTCCATCCCCCGCAGCCCCCGCCTTCGCCTCCACCTCTGCCTCCGCCGTCGTGGCCATGGTCATGGTCGTGGTCGTGATCGTGGTCGTGGTCGTCGTGGTCGCCGTGGTCGTCGTGGTCGTCCCGGTCGTCGTGGTCGTCCTGGTCGTGGTCGTCGTGGTCGTCGTGGCCGTTGTCGTCGTGGTCATGATCGTCGTCGTGGTCGTGGTCGTGGTCGTGATCGTGGTCGTCGTCGTCGTCGGTTTCGTCGTCGTCGTCGTCATCGCCGCCGTTGTCCATCCCCAACATCTCCCGCCCACTCCTCTGTATCGGCGTCGGCGTCTCGAAGCGCTTGTCCGCCACGGCGCGCAGCAGCGGGCGCGACAGCCGAAGATCCGCGAAGCAGATGCCAGTGCCTCCGCGCCGCACGGGGCCCCCCACCGCCGCGCATCGCAGGTGGACGACGACGACGACGACGACGACGACGACGACGACGACGACGACGACGACGACGACGATAACGACGGCAGCGGCAGCGGCGGCGGCGGCGGCGGTGGCGGTGGCGGCGGCGGCGGCGGCGGCGACGGCGACGGCGACGGCGACGGCGACGGCGCTGACGGACGGCCGCCCCCAACCGCCCCCCCGTTGCCCGACAACAACGACTACGACCACCACCACGACCACAACCACGACCACGACCGCGACGGCGGCGGCGGAGGCGGTGGCGGCGACGCCAGCGGCAGCGGCAGCGACAGCGACAGAGGTGGCAGCAGCAACGACAGGGCGATAACGACGACTTCGTCAACCCCTGCCTTGGGGTTCTCCCTCGCATCCCTCGTTTTGGTGCTGGTGTTGGTGCGTGGTGTGGTGTCATCACTGCGCCCCCCAGGCCACCAGGGTGTCATCATCTTGCTGCATGTCCATATCAACATCAGCCTAAGCCTGTTCCGCGCACACATCTGCTTGCTCCTCCTTCGCTTCCTCCTCCTCCTCCGCCTTTTCCTCCTCCCCCTCTTCCTCTTCGTATTATTATTCCTCCTCCTCCTCCTCCTCCTCCTCCTCCTCCTCCTCCTCCTCCTCCTCCTCCTCTTCCTCATCCTCCTCCTCCTTCTCTTCCGCCTCCTCCTCCTCATCCTCCTCCTCCTCTTCCTCCTCCTCCTCTTCCTCCTCCTCCTCCTCCTGGGCATCCGCCTCCGCCTCCGCCGCCTCCTCCTCCTCTTCCTCCTCGTCTTCTTCGTATTAATACTAGTATTATTACTATTGTTCCTCTTATGTTTAGTATTGCTTATTATTATTATCACTGTTCCTATTATTCTGAGTATTATCATTCTCATCATTAGTATTACTATCATTAATATCATTCGCATTATTATTAGTAGTATTATTAGTAGTACTGATAGTATTAGTATTGTTATTATTTTTGTTAGTATTAGCATTTTTGTTATTGCTAGTATTGATATGATCATTATTCTTAGTATCGGTATTAGTATTATTCAAGTTAGTCTTATTAGTAGTCTTAGCATTATGGTTGTTATTTTTGTTAATATTCTTCTGAATTTTATTATCAGTAT